AAAAACCATAAAAATAAAGTGACATATCCTAGGGACTGGGGATGCCCTCTCCCACTAAGGGGTACCTAATTCTGATTTGCAAGTCAAGACATCACCCTCATGATGTCATTGGTCTTCCTCCAGTATGAAGGATGAACAACAAACAACATTTCTGAAATTGTATAGGCTGTACTAAATTCTAGGGGACCTGGCTTATAACGAAAGATGTTAGACTCTTTATCATTTTCTTCAGCTCTTTATACCCACACACTGGAACCCTGAGGAAAATTACTTAAAACTTAGGTTTGGCTAAAGTCTAGGTTCTTCCCAAAAGGTATCAGCAGGTACTCAAAGTAAAATGTGAATCAGGTATAGGGTAGCTATTTATTACCTCCATATGAAAGAAATAATTAAAATACAAAGGATTCATAAGGGTATATTTTTATAAAAAAGTAACACATAATTCCTTTCCAGGAGGTTGTCAACAAGCATGACCTACATTCTAGAGAGTCTCAAAGTCTCACTATGCTTGTCAGCTCATGATGAGGAAACTTTCCTGATCAAATAGTTTGTTCCTTTGAAAGGAATTTCATTTTAGGGATGTGATTTATGTGGGGAAATGATCTCTTAGTAGTTCAGAGGAGAGGTCAGGACTAGAAATAAAGATTTTGGAGTCTTCTGCTTAGAGGTAATAATTACAACTATGTGAGTGGTTATCATCAATCAAAGCAGAGAATGTAGAGTGAGAAGAGGGCTCAAGATAGAGCCTTGGGGGATACCCACACTTAGAGGATGAGAAAACGTCACTGAATCAGTGGAGACTGAGAAGAAATGATCAAATAGGATGGAAGAAGCAAACTAGTAAAGAGAGGGGTCAGGGAAGTAAAATAAAAAGATTGTCTAGAAGAGTATCTGCAAAGAGATTAAAGGTGATAAAGATTAAGAAAAAAAACCAGTCTTCAGCATATAAGAGATCATGGGTGACCTTTAAGAAGAGTTTTAGTGGTACAGTAGGGAGGGAACCCATATTACAAAGAGATTGAGAAGAGAGTGGGTTATGAGGAAGAAAGGCAGTAAATGTAGACTGTTTCACCCTTTGTTCTCAAGACTCTTTATCTTGTCTGCTCTGCTTAATTTATCTCTACCTTTCATTTCCTCTTATCTCATTTTGAGCCGCTTCTTCTTCTTATATTAGTTGAATATACTTATTGACGCCAGAATGTTCAACTGAGTGTAGTAGTTCATAACATGACAGTTTGTGGTATCTTAACTTTTCCCTGTAATGGTGATGGTAATGATGACAATAATGTGAGAATGAAAATGACAGTTAAGAGATAAATGATGATTTATTTGTTCATTCAAGAAACATTTATTAAGCATCTACTATTTACAAGGAATTGGGACATATGCTGGTTGGATTAGGAAAATAAATAGGAGTCCTCTTTAATTCATCCTCCACACAGCTGTCCAACTGATATTCCTAAAACATGGATCTGACAATGTCAGTCTCCTATTAAAATTTTTTCACTGGCTCCCTATTTTCTATACTATAAAACATATACTCCTCAGCCTGGCTTCCACCAACTTTTCCAGCCTTATTTAATATGATTCCCCTTCATGAAGTCTCCATGCCAAAGAAGCTTGCTCGTTATTCTCTACATAGGACATTTCATTTCCTGTTTCCCTAATTCTTCATCTCTGCCTCTTAGAGTCCCTATCTTCTTTCTACGCCCTGTATAAATTCCACAAGGCCTTTCCTAATGTTGACATTATCTTGGATTATTTTGTACAGACTTTATCTGTTGTTTTGAATTACCCTTCCCTCGACCCCAGCCCCTTCTTCTTTCCCTTTTTCCTCAATTGGAGTCCTTGAGCCCAGGATTGTTGTTGTTGTTGTTGTTCTTCTTCTTCTTCTTCTTTTCCTCCTCCTCCTTTTTCCTTCTTCTTCTTTCTCCAGGCCTAGCACATTGCATCAATTGTCCCTGAATAAGTATTTGTTCAATTGAATTGAAAAACAACCCCGGCTCATCAAGGACTTACATTGATTGAGGATAATAATGAAAGTTGTACAGTATAGTAAAAGCCACAGTAGTGATGAGGACAATAGAGATGAATCATGTAATCTCAGTCTTGATAGGGCTGTCAGATTTTATCTAGTGCAAGTGTGACCTGGAAAGAGCACTGGGAAAAGGCACAGAGATGGGATAGAGAAGCAAACAGGTCAGTTTGGTTGAAGTACATGGAGTCCATAGAATAAATAGAGGAATTAATGTGTAAGGTCAGAAATATAAAATGGGACAAAGTTGTAAAGAACTTTAAGTGTCAAATAGAGGTGTCTGTATTTGATTATTGAAGTATTAGGGAGTGGCTAGGGTTTATATACTGATGGAAGACCTGGGTTAAAGTATAGCCTCTGACATATACTGGCTGCATGACCCCTGAGCACTGACTTGGTGCCCCAGGCACCTCTGTGAGACTACAAGTTGTAGAGTTGGTGCCAATTTGTATTGGTATAGGCAGTTTCCTCAGTGGGAATTCCCTATGAAAACAACAAATACTACCAAGGACCATACCTACCCTAGTAGGTAAATATATGAAAGATGTAAGTAAATATTTCTTAAAAGAATTACAAACCATTAACAACATTCTGAAAAATTCGCTGTAAATCACTAATATAAGAGAAATGAGAACCGAAATAACTCTGAGATTTCACCTTACCCTCAACAAAGTGGCAAAGATGTTAATGTTGGAGGGACTGTAGAAAGACATGCACACTAATACATATTTTGTGGAGCTATGAATTGTTTCAGTTATTCTAGAGAGCAATTTGGAATCATGCTAAAAAAAAAGTAACTAAAATAGTCATATACTTTGACTCCCAGATTTCATTGCTGAGCATGTAGTACAAGGAGGCAGATACAAAGAAAGGTCAAACATACACCAAAATATTTATAGCAACATTTTTTTGTGTGTGTGATAGCAAAGAACTGGAAAAAGTGGGTTGTTTTCTGTTGAGAGGACAAAAATATAAACAAATTATGGTACAGAAATGTAGTGGATATAATGTATAGTAAAGAATTGCAAATGTGGTGAATTCAAAGAATCATGGGAAACCATATGAACTGATGTAGAGTGAATCAAGCACAACTGGGAGAAAACAGGACTACAACAATGTAAATGGAAAAAATAATAAAACCATTGAATTCTGCTTTTAAAAAAAGAACACTGAACTCAGAATCAAGAGTCCTTAGTTCTAGTCCTTTCCTCACCCTTTCAGCTGAGGATCTTGCCTCATATATCCCCCCCCAAAATTGAGGGCATTCAATAAGAGGTTCCTCTTGTCCCCTTCTCACCTTATGTTCCTTTTACACAGGAATTCTTAATATTTCTGTGCATTGGTGTCCTTTGGCAGTCTGTTTAAGCCTACTGACTTCTCATAATTATGTTTTAAAATACATAAAACAAGTTAGGACTGCAAAAGAAACCACTTATATTGAAATGGTTATATACATATATGTGTGTGTATATATATACACACACACACACACACACACACACACACACACACACACACACACACACACACACACACACACACACACACACACATATATGCACACACACACAGTTCACAGCGCCCAGGTCAAAAAATACTTGCTCTAACTGGAATCTCTGATGAAGAGGTCTCCAGTCTTCTTTAGCAGATTGCCTTCACTGTTATTCTCTCTGTCTCTCTCTCTCTCTCTCTCTCTCTCTCTCATATCCAGTCTCTCTATATTTATTGGTTACTTTCCTGCTGCTTGCAAATATGCTTATGACTCCCCATTCTCAAAAAAAAAAGCCCAAACCCTCACTGGATTCTACCATCCCTGGTCTCTCTTCCCCTTCTCAGCTAAATTATTTGAACAGTCCATCTACGCTTAGTACTTCCATTTATTCTCTTCTAAGCTCTCTGCAATCTAGCTTCAGACTTCAACATTCAAAAGAAATTGCTCTCTCCAAAACCACCAATGATCTCTTAATTGCCAAATTTAATGGCCTTATCTCAAATCTTCATCCTTAACTTCTCTCCACTATTGGTTGACTTTATTCTGGATACTTTAAACTCTCTGAGTTTTTGTGACTCTGCTCTCTTTCGGGTTTCCTTCCACCTGTGTAAACACTCATCAGTCTCCTTCACTGAATCTTCATTTATTTCATACTAAGTGTGGATCAGCACCCAAGGCTTTATCTAGATCCTCCTCCTCTTCCTCCTCCTTCTCTCTTTCTCCATATCCTCTCACTTGGTGATCTCACCAGCTCCTATGGGTTCAGTTATCATCCCTCTTGCCAATGTTTCCAAGATATATACATCTAGTTCTAATCTCTCTCTCATTCCCCACTTTTGCATTACCAACTGCTTATTGGACATTTTGAACTGGATGTTCCCTCATATATCTAATTAGTTGCCAAATTTTGCAATTTCTTTCTCTGCAGCGTCTCTTAGATGTGTTCACTTACATCTGTTCACAAGGGTCTGGACCCGATGACCTCTAAGGTCTCTTCCAGTCCCTGATTTTATGATAAACCCAGGGGACTATGCAATCCCCATGCTTGAAAGTGACTTTCTGAGACATTTTGGTCATGAAAAAAGCAAAAGGCAAAGGAACAAAGGAGCAACGTGGCTGCATCACCACCTGCCTCTCACTCAGCGGAGAAAGGGCCAACTCTGTAACACGAAGCAGTTTGCGTGAGGCGGGGGAGGGGTGGCAAGAGAGCAGCGTGGGGGGGCGCGGAGAGGGAACGGGAGGGAGGAGAAGGTGGAGGGGGAGGGGAGAAGCAGGAGAGGGCGGGGACGGCGCCGGAACCCAAATCCCAAATCCCAAATCCCGCGGTACCCGCAGCGCCGCCGGGGTCGGGTCCCAAAGAACGCTGCTCCCGGAGCCGAGGCTGCACGGCGCCGTGGGGCCGGCAGGGGGCGCAGTCCGGAGGTCGGCGGGCACCCTCCTCCCTTCCCCCTCCCCCGAGGAGGCGGGGAGCGCGCGCTGAGGAGCCGGAGCGGAGGCAGTACGGGTCGGTCCGGCTGGAGTCCGGGCGAGGGTCGGGGTCATGGGAGGTGAGGGGGGGGCTGGGGCTCGGCGGGCACGGGGGATCCGGACCGTGAGATGGACTAGCCCAGGGGAGAGGGGCGGGGCGGCGCGGCGCGGCGGGGCTTGGGTCTTGGGGCGCCAGCCCCCGGGCTCACCCTCGGCTCCTCGTTCAGTTTTGGGGCGCAGCGCGAGGTGGGGGGGAATGGTTCTGTGGGAAGAGGGGCGGGGGATGGGAGGGGAGAGGGGACCAGGGGGGAGGCACGGAGGGGAGAAAGGGGGGCTTGTGGCGGGGGAGGGAACCCGCTGGCGAGAGGCAAGAAGGAACAGGGCGGGGGGGGGGTGAGCCACCTTCTTCACCCCCTCCCCACTCTCTCTCCCCTCCCCATTCTCTTTCCTTCCTTCCTTCTTCTCTCTCTATTCTCTCTCCCCCCTCTCTCTCTCTCCCATTCCCCATTCTGTCTCTCACTCCCCATTCTATATCTCCCCTTCTCCATTTTCTCTTCCCTTTCTATTCTCTTGCCCCCTCCCCATTCTCTCCCCTTCTTCGTTCTCTCTCCCCTTCCCCATTTTCTCTCCCCCGCTCCATTCTCTCCCCTTCCCCGTTCCCTCTCTTCTTCCCATTTTCTTTCCCTTTCTTCTTCCCATTCTCTTTCCCTCTCTCCATTCTCACTCTCCCATTCTTTCTCCCTCCCCTTCTCTCTTCTCCCCTTCCACATTCTTCCTCTCCCCATTCTCTTCCTCTCCATACTCTGTTCCCCCTTCCTGCTGCAGGTGGTAGAGCAAGCTTGTCCCCCAGATTCTGAGGGGCAGGGACGGTTTCTTGGGGGAGGAGTTAGTCTAAGCCTTACACACCTCTCAGTCTGCTGCCCTCCCTCCCCAAATCTTTGCGTCCTTTCTCTCCCTAAACCCCTGCAGGAACGCCTCTTCCTACCCCCCCTTCTAAAGTCCACTTTTCCTCTTTCCTCTGTACCCCTGCGTCCTTCTCTTCCTTTTCAAAACCACGAACCTTCTCCCCTTTTTTTTTACCTTAAACAAACCTTTGCGCTTTCCCCTTCGCCCCGAAGAGCACCTCAGCTTTTTCCTCTTGCCTTCTGTGTCCTGCCAAACTCTTCCAAGGCTTATACTTGCTCTCTCCTCTCTCAAATTTCATTCATCTTCATCTCCCTGCCCCATCATTATTTCCCAACATAGGTCATGGGCATTATTTTAGGAATTGCTTTTCCCCTCTACATGGAAAATTAAGAACCATTTCTTCTTTAGGTAAGAAGGTGGGAATACCATCTCCACTGTGATGTTTTTCTGTTGGTTGCTGTATGTTTTTTTGGGAGGGGAGATGTGTTTTTTCTTTCTAATTGTAAACCAGTTGGTGAGGTAACATTGACTATGCAGGGGGATAAACTGGTTAATTAGAGTGGAGAACTAATTCATAGAGTGTGGGGTTTCAGTTTTTTTAAATCTTGTGTTTTGGCTTTTGAGTCTAAATACTGTGGTAGTTCTTTTGTCAGTAATTTTCTTTGAACAGGCTTATGTAGTCAAAAAAAACTTGGATTCTCTTATGATATTAATTTCTTAAGTATGCTAAAGCTGTGAGGTGGTCTTATACATATTGATAGCTTTGAGTTATTGATAATGGAGGAGAATTTAGAGCCATTATTTCTCTCCAGTTTTTCATTCACTGTTATTTCCCCAGTATTCTGAAGAGAAAGGTTAATTCTGGCTGCCTTTTTAAGTAAAAGGAATGCATTATTGCAAACATTAAATAAGTAAAATCAAGGGGAAAAATCCAGCAGGAGGGCATGGGATGGGGAGAAGAGAATTTAGGCATATTAAAGCTCCAGAATGAACAAAGGATGGTTATTGGTGTACCGAATTTCAGCAGAATGGAACTTGTTTTATTTTTATAATAATCATGAATGTATAATCAAGGTATAAGTCTATCATTAGAATATTAATGAGATATTAACTGAACCTGTTTTGGCAATAAGTTGTTCTTATTCAGTGATATTGTTATTCAGTCATTTTAGTTGTGTTTGACTCTGACCCCATTTGGGTTTTCTTGGCCAAGAGACTGGAGTGATTTGCCGTTTCCTTCTTCAACTCATCTTACAGATGAGGAAACTGAGGCAAATAGGGTTAAGTGACTTGCCCAGGGTCATACAACTAGTAAATGTCAGAGACCAGAATTGAACTCATAAAGATGAAGTCATGAAGGTTAACTCATGAAGATTCATCTTCTTGACTCCAGGTCTTGTACTTTTATCCACTGAGCTGACCTGTCCCTTATTCAGTGATAATGCCCAATTTTTTAAATTTCTGAGAACGATCATGTTTTCAATTACGAGGAAGATGAAAAGCAAAAGCTGTCCTTAGCAGAGAGCATCTTAATTTCTTAATCAGGACAGCTGTTTAAGAGTACAAATGTCATTTCATAAATATACTTTGTCAGATTTTTTTTGGGGAAGGTTTATGTTCTGGATTAAATTGAACAGTAATGGTTTATCTTGGAAGGAGAATCAGTCAACCAGTCAGTAAATATTTATTAAGTGTCTACTCTGTGCCATGCACTGTGCTAAGCCCTGTGAATAACAAAAAGAGGCAGAAGGCATTTCTAGCCCTCAAGGAGCTCAACAGTGTAATGGGGAGGCAATAGATAGAAGATAGGATTTTTAGTAGGACTTATAGGAAGCCAAGGAAGCTAGTAGACAGTGATGAGGAGAGAGAGCGTTCCAGGCCTTGGTAACAGCCAGAGAAAATGCCTGGAGGTGAGAGATGGAATGTCTTGTTGGCAAAACAGTAAGGATGCGGGTGTCACTGGATTAGAGAAAATGGACTGGAGAGGTAGGAGGGAGCTAGGTTATGAAGGACTTTGAATACTAAACAGAGAATTTTTTATTTGATCTTGGAGGTAATAGAGAGCCAAGGGAGTTTCCTGAGTAGGGAGCAAGGATGACAGTTGGATTTGAGTTTTAGGAAAATCACTTTAGTGGCTGAATGGAGGATGGATTGGAATGGGGAGAGACCTGAGGCAGGCAGATCTATCAGCAAGCTATTGCAGTAATCCAGGTGTGAAGTGGTGAGGGCCTGTGCCGAAGTGGTGAAGTGACTTGGGAGAGAAGGGGGCTTGTTGGAGAGATGTTGCAAAGGTGAAATCAGCAGGTTTTGGCAACAGATTGGATATGGGCTTTGAGAAATAGTGGGGAATAGAGAATGATTCCTAGGTTTTAAGAAACTGAGAGGATGATGTTGCCCTCTACAGTAATAAGGAAAGGGGAGGGGAGAGTTTAGGGGAAGAGAGAATGCACTTCATTTTGGACATATTTACTTTAGGGTGTACAGTGGACATCCAGTTCAAGATGTCGAAAGGCAGTTATGCCCTCTAGGGGCATAATTTAATTCCACAAAGATTTATTAAGCTTTTGTCATGTGCAAGACATTATGCTCTGTACTGGGCATACAAAGTCCTTTTTCTGTTGTTCACATTCCATGAGGGGATGCTACATATACTTTAATTATAGTATAAGGCAAATTGTAGAGAGAAAGAACAGTGCCAATTGTGGTGATCAGGGAAAGCTTTACAAAAGAAGTGGCACCTGAGCTGTGTCTTGAAGGGAGAAAAGGATTATAAGAGGCAGCAATGAGGAAGGAATACATTTTCAAAATAAGGGTCAGTTTATGTGAATACCCAGAGGCTGAAGATGAATTATTGCTCCTACAGGGACATTCTGGGGTCCATGTGTAAGATGCTAGTTGAGCATCTAGTGCTTTCTACTTACAGGATGTTTGGAGATGGAGCCTGTGCCGGAAGTACATAGCAAGATGGGGAAATTTGTGTCTCTAGGTCATTGAGACGGAACAGATTGATAAGTCGCATTTGTACAACTAGAAACAACAACTAGTAGTCCAGTTTGGTTGGAATGTAGAATATGTGAAGGGTAGTGATGAGGCCTTAAATGCCAGGCTAAGTAAAGAGTTTTGTATTTTATCCTACAATCATAACAGCTACCATTTTATATAGTGCATACTGTGTGTCAGACACTGTGCTGATTGTTTTGTAATTATAATTTCATTTGATTCTCACAACAACCCTGGGAGGTGGGGCTATTACTATTCCTATTTTATACATGAGGAAACTGAGACAGAGGTTAAGTGACTTGCCCAGGGTCACACAGCTAAGTGTTTGAGACTGGACTTGAACTTAGGTCTTCCTGACTCCAGGCCCTGTGCTCTATCCACTGTGCCACCTAGCTGCCGCAAGGCAAGCTGTAGCGTGGAAGTGACGCTATCAGACCTGTTTCATAGAAAGATTACTTTGGCAGTTGTGTGGAGGATTAATTGGAGAGGGAAGTGACTAAAAGTAGAGAAAATAACTGGAAGGCTATTAAGTAGCGTAGGCAATTGGTGATGAAGGCCTGGTAGGCTGGTGGTCATAGTAGAAGAGGTAAATTGGAACATGTTCGTAGGCAGTGGGAAAAGAGCCAAGAGAGGATGGGATTGATAGAGGGGATGGCCTTGTCAAGGAGAAGGGCCATCTTTTCATCACAGACTGAAGTAAAGAAGGAAAGAATGGATGATGATGTAGAAGGGTTTTGAGGTGTGATATTGGAGAGAAGAAAGATTTTACTGCACGTGATTATTTTCTCAGTAAAGACTATTTTCTCAGGCAACATTTACTGAGAGAAAGGGTGCTGAGAAGGTATGGAACAGTCATTGAAGAAATGGGATAGAGAGACGAGAGAACAAAAGTTTTGCTATACAACAACAGTGTGGGCCCAATTGAGATTAGATAATCCCAATTAGATAATCTGAAGAAGCAGAGAAGACTGGTGTGGGTGATTCAGGGTGTAGGAATGACAGAATATAAATGGAGGCAGAGCAAGAGGACAAAGGAGTCAAGTGTGGAGAACAGTATATAGTTGGACTAGTCATTTATGGGATCAAGACCGTGAAGAAAGGAAAGAGAAGCCAGAGGATGAAGAATTGATCAGGATGGAGAGACTGGAGGTTAAAGGACAGAAGGAAAGGAGGTTGTAGTGAGGGCAAAGAATAGATTTAGGAGCAAAGCAGAGGGGAAGATGAAAGGATAGGATATTCTTATTATGAAGGTGGAATAATTTAGGGTGATCGTCTGGGGGGTATGGCCATCCCTGTGAGTGGTTGAGGTAGATTGTTTTAGATCAGACCTGACAGTATGTATGTATGTATGTATGTATGTATGTATGTATGTATGTATGTATGTATGAGAAGCTGTTGATAAAATCCATCTCTTGACTGTAGCCATGTTCCTTGGAGAAAGGTGAGGTGGTTGGGAGGCCTACTGACTTCTTTTCCTTCTGTTTGATTAATAAAGGGCTATTCTGCTTCACCTTGAAATTTGGGCTAGGCTTGGATTAAAAAAGTTAGTACTTACTGAGAGTTAAATTTTTTTGTTGTTGTTGCCAAACTAACTTGAGCACCACTCATCTTCAAGCTGGAATTGACTTGTAGCCACTGTGTGTATCAAATTACAAAAGGCTGGTGAAAGTCTGTTTTATAAGACTATTGACTATACTTTGGGAAGAATTATATAATTCAATTCAAGAAACTTGTATTGCGTATTTTGTACAAGTCTTTGTGCTAGGTGCTGGGAAGGCACCTTACATGAAATCACAGGATCACAGATTTAGAGCTGAGACAGACCTTAGATATCATCTAGTCTAGACCTCTCAGATGGAGAGATTTGTATGGGCTATAATAATTCACCTTTGTTCAAAATATTTTACAAATGTATAAAGCACTTTCCTTATGACAATATTGTGAGCTAGCTTTTTAAATAGAAGAAGAAACTAAGTCACATTGCTAGTAAATGTTATAGCCATGAATCAAATCCAGATATTTGGAGTCCAAGATCCATGCTTTTTCATCCTATAATCTACTATACTACATAGTTAGGCTTTGGGATAGGAAGACTTTGAGTAGAAAATGGGTCCTGAAGGGTGGATAAAATTTAAGGGAATAGAGAAGAAAGGTATTCAGGGGTAGGTTAGCAATATGAACATAGAGCACAGAATGGGAATGATTACAGGGAGATGTTTAGTGAAGCAACTTGAATAAAACAGGATAGTTACTAAAGGGTAATGAATGAAATGTGAATCTGGAGTCAGAGGATCCAAGTTTGAATCGCATTGTTGTGACTTTATCTGTATGGCCTTGGACAAGTCTGCTGGATTAAATAACCTCTAAAGTTTTTTCTCACTCTGGATCTATGGTCTTGTGATTTTAGA